TTAGCAGCCTCCAACATTATGACTGACAAGGCACGAAGTCTCCTTCTTCAAGCCAAACTTCCCTGCAATTTTATAAAATGTTAGCTCCAGGTTTTGAGGCTCTCTTGAGGTAAAAAATCTTCACAGTAGCTCTAATGGCAGCATATTTCTATTTTCCCTCCTTATTCTTATTGCTCTCTTTGACCCTCAGGGCTTACCTGACATTAAGATCTAGATAATCCAGTGAAATCCAATATTTTTTCTCCTTGCTTTTGTCATTGTTTCGTCATGTCTAAAGGGCAAGAACAGTAGCAGGGGAAAGATCTTCAAATTAAGGTCAACTGAGTATAGATCTGGGCAGATTCCCATTGATTCTGGGCCCTGGCCACAGCTCTACCTTCATCTCGGTTTTCTATGTGTCATTAAGAAATGTCTTTGCTCACCTGTATATGAGTTGTGCTCAACAAATGTAAACTCAGGAATATAGGTAGCAGGAATTTTGATAGAGCTGCACTATGCTCATAACAGTGCCTACAATAAGTTGAACAATTGGCTTTGGTTGCTCATGAAGTTTATGATGAAACAACCCAGGTTTATTTTTCCGTTGCTGTTTACAATAAGAGATGAATACCAGCTGCCTCCATCATTAATGTAACCGTCAACCAGCACATGACTTCCAAAAACAGTATTAGAGAAAGATGGCCTCAGGGGAGTAGAATGTTTCAATGAGGAGAGAGGGGAAAAAGCCCAAAGAAATGGCAGCACAGATAACTGTGGGTGTGTGAGTTTTCACACTGTCAATAAAAAAGAAAAAGAAAAACTCAAACCTGACCTTTGCAAAAGCGGATGGAAACAAACCAGCCCACTCAAAAGAGAAGGTTACACAGTCTGTTAGATAAGGTGGGATGAAAAATTAAATGGAGGAAGGAAAAAATCTATGTTCTATAAATAGGGCTAAATGTCTATAGAGATCCTCAATCATCCAGGTCGGGATTGTCCCTAAGGTGCTTTTCCAAAAGACAACTGGACTCTCTTGGGGTTTTTTCCCCTTGAAAATGTTTCACTTCTTATTCAAGAAGCTCCTTCAGTTCAGAGCTGAAGAAGCTTCTTGGATGAGAAGCAAAACATTTTCAAGGAAAGAAACCCAAGAAAGGCCAGTTGACTTTTGGAAAAGCACCTTTGGGACATAAATAGAGCTAGTTTTTGATTAGCTGCAGTTGCTAAAATCATTTTGATTATAACTACAGTACCTGCTGTCTTCAATAAATATTCGGTATTCTCCATTCTCGGATACATGATTCCAATCATTTATTTTGTGCCTTTGGGTTGGTTTTGACTCCTGGCAACAGGTTTTTCAAAAGCTTGCTTCCTATGGCTGAGAAGAAGTGATTAGCCCAAGGTCACCTAGGTAGCTTCCATGTCTAGGCAGAACTAGAACCCACATCCTTCCGGTTTCTAGCCTGATAGCTTAATCACTACACCAAGCTTCTTCCACGTTCAATGGCTGAGGAATAATAAGGCTTGGAAATGATTTACAGCACCACATTTTCCCCCATAGAACTGAAGGCTGAAGGCACAAGTGGAGGCCCAATTTGGTTACTCCTAAAACTATCACTTATAAAGCTTAACTTTAACAATGAGGTGCTTTTCAACCTTCTGCATACCCTAATTATGTTTGATAAGTGATTGAGGAATTAGTTACTAAGAGCAATTAACGGATTAGTTATATATTGCTTTCAGTTTCTGACACCTTATCTTTCTACGGAATGGATACATTTAAATTTTGAACAGATATACGTATGTTCCATTTATTTAAAGGGAATAATTGCTGTTCAGCCAATATTGCTCCCCCACTCTTACACACAATATTTAGAATATTAAGCTATGAACAATGACATGGCTTCATTTATCTGATAAAGCTCAATAGTATGCAATTGATTTTTGACTAATTAAGTGTAATTAATTTTTGGTATCCACATTTGAGCAAATTTCTTTTTGTATCATAACACAAAAAGGTATGTCTTAAAGGTCCTGTTTAAGTTATGGGTGAAGTTATTATGCTTGCCATAATTTCTTTTAACGACCCCGTAATCACCTGCATCGGGGTGAAATTGGGACAACTGAAAGGAGTCAAGTGTTATTGGCCGGATGCCCTTCCTGATGCCTATATGGAGTTTGCAGCAGGCAATTATTCATTGCACTCAGACAGAGAAATATCTGCTGCTACCTAGGATCAAACTCACAGCATTCTGATTGTGAGGTGAGAGCTCCACCTCTAGGCCACTGCACCGCTCTAGCCACTACTCTACATAATGAGCAAAATATTACAAATCATGGGAAAAAAGCTGGTTTTGGAACTGAAGGAATAAAAGAATAATTTAGATGACACTCAAATCCCAATAAGGAGAACTTTTTTTCCCCATTTATTGTTTTTTAACCTGGATTCTGTCAGACTTGCTGGTAAGTCCTTGGCTGAAAGTCCCAGATACTTGACTCAGGATGATTTGGCTGGATTCTAGACTCACACACTTGTCTTAAGGGTCTCCTCACATGGCACACCTGAATGAATATCTTTATTGCTTTCCAGAAAGAACAGATAAAGTTGATTGCCCATGTCAACATGAAGATGCAGTTCTTTTTCTATAGCCACTGAAATTTAAGTCCAGTGTGCATTTCTCCCATCTTTCCTACAATTTAGCAAATGTTTTGGTCTGTGCTTCTTGACCTTGAAGCTAGGTTAATGTTGACTGTTGACATAACTAACATCTCTTGTCTCAACAAATGCTATCTCTCAGCTAACACAGAATCTCAAAAATGAATACAATTTTTTCCTAGCAAAGGTTTCTAGATTTTATATGTCTAGCAATATTAGATACAGTATGAGCTGAAAATAAGCCACTGGTAAATGTAAAGATGAAATCGATTATTGTAATGTTTATACTATCTTAGCACAATTTTTTGTCATAGCTTCCCAGCCTATATGCCAAATGAACAACTCTATATCATTTTTATCTCATGTCTGTCTTCTGTAGTAAAGGTTTTTTTAAAAAACAGTTGCAAATTTTCTCTGACAATATCTTACTAACTTCATGGGAGCATAAGAAAGAGTAGCTATAGTGAGCTGACCCTCTAGTTCCCTTCTCTCCTTTTACTGTGCTTTAATTGGCAATGAAAATACCATCACTGAGGCCACAGTGATGGTATTTTCAAATTAGTTCCGTTCCTGTATGAAAATGTTGCATCTGTCTTTATCTTAAGAAGAAGCATAACTTGTATTCCTGTAACTTTGGTTGGAACACAGGTAATTAAGTTGCTAAGTTGCCCATTGAACAACCTGTCAGAGGACAAGAATTAGGGTATTCTGTGACAGCTTCTAAGAAATTACAGTCCAAGTCAACAGTATAAAAGGGAGCAGGCAAAAAACCTGTGATGAAAGCTGAATATGCTGCCACAGCAATGCAGACCAGCCAATTTTTGAAGCAGACATGAAGCAGTCACATTGCATTTGGATTTGCATAGCTGCCTTGTAACGCATCTAGGCTATTGAGGGGCTGTGTGGAATCCTTGAGCCTCTCCATAAGATATCATGCTTCCCACTTGTGTTAGTGGATGTTGTAACATCTTTGTGTGTGAATAGGCAAGGAAAGGAAGGAGAGAAAGAGGGGCAAGATTATTTGTATATGTACGTGTCAGGGTGGATTGCTACCGGCATTACTGCACAAATTTTTTTTCTCTACTGTGCGTGTGCGCATTTATACTTAAAAGCAGACGGTTAGATAAGGGGAAAAATTACATTTCTGCAATGGAGATTGTTCTGTGCATCCATAGAAGCAAAAATCCACATAGCGCCGACAACAATCAAACCGTTTCGAGTGCGTGGGCGGCCGAGTTACTACCTACTCAGCCGAACCAGTCCAAACTTGTAGGAACTCACTTTTGGTATGTGTGTGTGTTTGTTTGTTTGTTTGTTTGTTTATTTATTTATTTATTTATTTATTTCCTATCTTTAATATTTTTTACAAATAATTCCTTCAAACACACCTACCCCCTCCTATTTTCCCCACAACCCAACCTTGTTGTGGTAGATTAGAGCAGTGTTTTTCAACCTTTGTGCAAAGGCACACTTTTTTCATGGAAAAAATCACGAGGCACACCACCATTAGAAAATGTTAAAA